CATGGTGTCTCCCCCCTCGAGAGAGTTCAATCTAAACTCCTTAGAGCTGTCCTACAAGTCCCCAGATGCTTTTCAAATGCATGGGTTAGACTAGAAACGGGGACATCAATCTATAAATGGCTGGCATTGAATCTGCTCTCCCGAGGAATAGCCCCACTGATCCTCTGTGACCGGTTCCGGTCAGGCTGGCAGACAGCAGTCCTGAACACCCTCCAGAAACTAGGTTTTGCCCCTCAAGCCCTTCTAAGTCTGGTGTTGGGCCAGGCAAAAGCTATGGTCAGGCAAAGAATCATAGACACCGAGAGACAACAGGACTGCGCAAGGTGCCCTGACTATAAAATTTGAGAAATCGAGAGAGATATAGCCGCACTGGCAACATATCTCTTCTTTCTCGTATCCAAAAATGCAAGAAGGGCTTTTACACTCGCCAGAAGCTGGCCGGTCCTGGAAGGATCCTTTTAAAAAAGTCCAATATGCTCAGAGACTTTGCGCCTCTTCATTGGGGGGATAGAGGAAGCCTAGAGCACTTGTTCTTTAGATGTCCCTTTTATGAAGAGGAACGTACTGAGACCATTGATCCCTTGCTGGTGAGGCTCGCTGACCTCCGGGAAAAGCAAAAATTCAACCTTTTCCCGTTAGGCAAAGATCATAAGACGACCCGGATGGTCGCCAGATTCTGTGTACAGATCTGCAGGCACAGACCATCCCCCGACCCAAACTAGTTTGTGAAGAAAATCCCCAAACTTGGTTCCATGGGGGACTCTGGGTCATCTCTCTGCGGTAGCTTATCTTAAAGTTTTGAGTGTCTATACGCTTATTGTATTTATAAATTTTAAATTTATGGTTGTACATTGTTTTAACTGTTTGTTTTCTTTCTGGGAATGTACCCCCAAGTGTGTTTTATAAGCTGGTCTCTGACCGTAATAAATTATCTATCTATCTAGTCATGGCATAGATCTGGGGTAGACAACCTGGTGCCCTTCTGAAGTCAGGCTGCAACTCGCATTGGCTTTAGCCAGCATGACCAATGGTCAGGGAATTGTAGCCCATCGGTATTCAGCGGTGGCCACAACAGCTGACCTCAGACTCAGTTTTGGCGTGATCCGGCAAAGCTTTTATTATACCGTTAAGGAAATCAGCCCTGAGTGCTCACTGGAAGGACAGATTGTGAAGCTGAGGCTCCAAGACTTTGGCCACCTCATGAGAAGAGAAGACTCCCTGGAAAAGACCCTGATGCTGGGAAAGATGGTGGGCACAAGGAGAAGGGGACGACAGAGGACAAGATGGTGGGACAGTGTTCTCGAAGCTACCAGCATGAGTTTGACCAAACTGCGGGAGGCAGTGGAAGACAGGAGTGCCTGGCGAGCTCTGGTCCAGGGGGTCATGAAGAGTGGACACGACTAAACAACAACAACGAGATGGTGGGCTGTGCCGAAATGGCAAAACTAACTGGGAGACTCAGGAATCAAGAAGACAATAACAAAAATATTAGTAGGTAAAGAAGATCGCACACAGGGAAATACTGGGTTGTGGGGGAGGGAGGTGAAGGGATTAATCGAAATTGTTAAAGACTGGTATAGTATTTAAGAGATTTGAATTTTTATAAAGATTCGGCAAGGAAAGCAGAAAGCAGCAAGAAATATTAAGTAAAGGTATCAGGAGACCAGTGTAAATGAAAACATGAGACTTATGGTTTTGTTACATATGATTTTATTTTGGAGTTGTCTGCTTATTTTGGAGTTGTTTGTTGGAAAGAATGTATATTATGTGAATAAAATTTTAAAAAATAGCAAAGAAAAAAAGAAAGAGGAATTAAGACGACAAGGGCTTAAAAAAAAATGGGGGAAATGTATAATTTACCTAGGAGACCACTGTTAGTAAATTAAAACTTTAGCTGGACTTTAAGAAACACTTGTAAAGTAACAAAGACTATGGATAATTTGGAAAAATGGAGATTGTGGAGAATGTACTGATACGTAGCTTTAAATTCTAATTTAAGGACCCATGTAAGGGATGAGGAGAAGTCATGAGATTCGGAGAATCTCACAAAACGATTATACAAGCTGTTTGGATGTAAATTTGTAATACCGAAAACAAATAAAAATATTTCACACACAAAAAATATGATACCGTTGAGCGGACTTATTCGCCAACAGTGACCAAACCCCAATGGAAACGGCGCTATCTGGTTGCCAGGCGAAACCTGGAAGAGGAGAGGCTCCGAATGGCGGGGGTCAGACTTACCTACGCAGCCCACTCCCGTGGGGTTGAGCTCAAAGTCTTGGGGGCAGTTGCACAGGTAGCTCCCAGGTGTGTTGACACAAAGCCCGTTGATGCAGTTCACTGGATCGGCGCACTCGTTGATGTCTGAAAGGTGAAAGTGTTATCAGAATTTTAAGGTCTCAAATACAGTGGTACCTCGGGTTACATACGCTTCAGGTTACAGACTCCGCTAACCCAGAAATAGTGCTTCAGGTTAAGAACTTTGCTTCAGGATGAGAACAGAAATCGTGTTCCAGCGGCGCGGCGGCGGCAGCAGGAGGCCCCATTAGCTAAAGTGGTGCTTCAGGTTAAGAACAGTTTCAGGTGAAGAACAGACCTCCGGAACGAATGAAGTACTTAACCTGAGGTACCACTGTATAGAAGAAACATTCATAAATTTCCCCTAAATTGATTTTTGATTTTTATTGTTCTTCATGTTTTTATACTGTATTTTATGCTGCTTTTATAATTAAGTGTTTTAAATTTGTTGTTAGCCGCCCTGAGCCCGGTTATTGAACCGGGAAGAGCGGGGTATAAATAATTTATTATTATTATTATTATTATTATTACAGTGGTACCTCGGGTTACATACGCTTCAGGTTACATACGCTTCAGGTTACAGACTCTGTTAACCCAGAAATAGTGCTTCAGGTTAAGAACTTTGCTTCAGGTTGAGAACAGAAATTGTGCTCCAGTGGCGCGGCAGCAGTGGGAGGCCCCATTAGCTAAAGTGGTGCTTCAGGTTAAGAACAGTTTCAGGTTAAAAACGGACCTCCGGAACAAATTAAGTACTTAACCTGAACTATCACTGTATTATAAATGTGCACATATCTAAATATATGAACCATGTGTCTGAAATAGTATGGGAGAGCGATCCTGAAGCCATTCTGACTCTCCCAAATTTTCCTCTGCAGTAAGGGAGGCAAATGGGGAAAGCCTTCCCATTGCCTTTTTGCTTGCAAATCCTGTCTTAAGGGCATATTTCTGTATGAATAGGGTGAGCCTGTGACCTGGACTCAGGAGCTAAAAAAAGAATGACCAGGCTGCCCAGGAAATGCAATCAGTGACTGTTATCAGGTATCTTGGCAGGCAGGATTTCTGCTGCAGTCTGTCTCCTTCTGTGATGTATGTATGATGTTTAGGGGGGTGGTCTTGTGCTTTTGGGTGGGCAATTTCAAAAGTCTATATAGGGGCTTGCGCACCATTGTTCAGGGTTCTCCTCCTCCTGCGAGTGGTGAGTGGAGACCCTGTTGCAACAGTTCAATAAAGATCAGGCTTACTAGCCGCTTTGCTTTTCCATATTCTCTGGCTGGCGTCTGTTTTCTCATACTGATAGGGAACCCACTTAAGGACTCTATATGGGCTCCAGAATACCCCATAAGGGAAAGGGAGCAGTTTTTGCTTATAACAGGACCAAGTATAGACTTACTCGGCTATGAGTGATCGCCAAAGAAGAAGAAGAAGAGACTGCATAATAATTTAACGCCTCCATGGTGATAGAGGAATGGTGCTCTTGAATGTGGTAACTGTGGCCCTGAAGGACCAGGTGCGCAGCCTGGGGGTCATTTTAGACCCACAGCCGTCCATGGAGGTGCAGGTCAGTTCTGTGTCCATTTGGTGCGCCGGCTGAGACCCTCCCTGCCTGCGCACTGTCTCGCCAGGAGTGGTACATGCACCATAAAATTTTACACATCACTTGGGAAGACAGGCGAACTGATGCCAGTGTACTGGAAGAAGCAAAGATCACCAGTGTCGAAGCAATGATTCTTCAACATCAACTTCGTTGGACTGGTCATGTTGTGCGGATGCCTGATGATCGTCTTCCAAAGCAACTCCTCTATTCCGAACTTAAAAATGGGAAGCGTAATGCTGGTGGTCAACAAAAGAGGTTCAAAGACTGTCTCAAGGCAAAGCTAAAAAAATGTAGTATCAACACCAACAACTAGCAAACACTGGCCTGCGAGCGCTCCAGTTGGAGAACAGCCTTTGCCAAAGGTGTCCTGGGCTTTGAAGACGCTCGAACTCAGGACGAGAGGGAGAAACTTGCTAAGAGGACGGCATGCTTGGCAAACCCTCACTGGGATCAACTCCCACCCGGAAACTGATGTCCCCACTGTGGAAGGACGTGTGGATCCAGAATTGGCCTCCACAGTCACTTACGGACTCAATGTTAAAACCGTGTTTATGGAAGACAATCTTACTCGGCTACGAGGGATCGCCAAAGAAGAAGAAGAAGAAGAGGAAGAAGAAGAGGAAGAGGAAGAGGAAGAAGAAGAGGAAGAGGAAGAGGAAGAAGAGGAGGAAGAAGAAGAGGAGGAAGAAGAAGAAGAGGAAGAAGAAGACAACGAAGACGAAGAAGAAGAAGACGAGGAAGAAGAAGACGAAGAAGAGGAAGAGGAAGAGGAAGAAGAAGAAGAAGAAGAAGAAGAAGAAGAAGAGGAAGAGGAAGAAGAAGACGATGAAGAAGAAGAGGAAGAGGAGGAGGAAGAAGAAGAGGAGGAGGAAGAAGAAGAAGAAGAAGAAGAGGAAGAAGAAGACGATGAAGAAGAAGAGGAAGAGGAGGAGGAAGAAGAAGAGGAGGAGGAAGAAGAGGAAAAGGAAGAGGAAGAAGAAGAAGAAGAGGAGTAGGAAGAGGAAGAGGAAGAAGAAGAGGAAGAGGAAGAGGAAGAAGAGGAAGAGGAAGAAGAATTAATAATAATGCACTGTGTGTCCTTGCTGGTCTTTCCCTCCCAACTCACCTGTACAGTTCCCTCCACTCCTGTCCAGCTCATATCCATCATCGCAAGCACAGCGGAACATCCCTGGAAGGTTCTGGCAGCTGCCAAACACACAGATGTTCTGGAAGGTGCACTCATCAATATCTGTGGGGCGGGAGGGAATCACAAATGAAATCAACACTCTTTGGGGTGAGTCCAGCACCCGATGGCTCTTCATCCGCCCGAAAGCATCGCCCCCGATAAATCTGCGAGCTGTTAAGGGGCACGGAGAAAGCAGGGAGAGAAAATCTGGCCTCGCTCTCGTCTTATATGAGAACGATGGGGCAGTATTATTATAAAACGACTACCTGATTTTGGAAGACATCAGAAGGCAGCCCTGTTTAGGGACGTTTTTAATGTTTGTTGTTTTATTGCGCTTTCAATATTTTGTTGGGAGCTGCCCAGAGTGACTGAGGAAACCCAGCCAGGTGGGCGGGGTATATATGAGAAATTATTATTATGAATTATTATTATTATTATCCGAAGGAAGCTGAAAGCCGGATGATTCATAGCAGACGAAAAAGAGGACATGCTCCCATAAATGGTAGCGACAGGCGCCGAGTCGGACGGCTCTAAATGGAGATTAGGAAAATTCTCAGATAGGGTGAATTATTATTATTATTATTATTATTATTTATTATTCCATGGATTTTCCTGGAGGGAAACAATGAGTCAAACAGATGTGTGGATAATAATAATAATAATAATAATAATAATAATAATAATAATTTATTTATACCCCGCCCATCTGGCTGGGTCCCCCCAGCCACTCTGGCCAGCGTCCAACAAAACACTAAAATACAATAACCTATTAAACATTAAAAGCTTCCCTAAACAGGGCTGCCTTTAGATGTCTTCTAAAAGTTTGGTAGTTACTTTTCTCTTTGACATCTGGTGGGAGGGCGTTCCACAGGGCGGGGGCCACTACCGAGAAGGCCCTCTGCCTGGTTCCCTGTAACTTGGCTTCTCGCAATGAGGGAACCGCCAGAAGGCCCTCGGCACTGGACCTCAGTGTCCGGGCTGAACGATGGGGGTGGAGACGCTCCTTCAGGTCTACTGGGCCGAGGCCGTTTAGGGCTTTCAAGGTCAGCACCAACACTTTGAATTGTGCTTGGAAACGTACTGGGAGCCAATGCAGATCTCTCAGGACCGGTGTTATGTGGTCCACTCCCAGTCACCAGTCTAGCTGCCGCATTCTGGATTAATTGCAGTTTCCGGGTCACCTTCAAAGGTAGCCCCACATAGAGCGCATGGCAGTAGTCCAAGCGGAAGATAACCAGAGCATGCACCACTCTGGCGAGACAGTCTACAGGCAGGTAGGGTCTCATCCTGCGTATCAGATGGAGCTGGTAAACAGCTGCCCTGGACACAGAACTGACCTGTGCCTCCATGGACAGCTGTGAGTCCAAAATGACTCCCAGGCTGCACACCTGGTCCTTCAGGGGCACAATCAGGACCAGGGAGTCCCCCACACCCGCCCGCCCCCTGTCCCCCAATGGATTATCCATGTCTCCCCGCTGTGACTAGCTGCAAGGACAAAGTTACTTCTTGCAGTGCTAGGTGTGAGAGATGACCGGTAACTCTAAGCAACACGTTACGGGAGATTTCGGTGACCGGGGAAGCCACGGAAAACTCGGTGCA